GCACCCTGAGGCCCCGTGTCTGTCCTCGGGGAGTAGCCGTCCACGTGTGGAGTCTGGCTGGGTCCAGGTTGGGGCTCGGACCTGCCAGCTCTGATCGTGGCTTCTGCCCTCACCAGCTGTGTGGCATGGGGCAAGTTGCATAACCTCTCTGATTCAGTTCCTCATCTAAAAGTTGGAGCAGTGGTGATACCTGCTGGGATCAGAGAAGACAAAGTAGCACAGCCCCTAGGACGCTGCCGGGCGTGGTGCCCACATCTACCAGTGGTGCTTCTCTTGCCCTGGCCATTGGGAAGCCCTCTCCAGCCCTGCCACGTGGCACATCCTCCGAGAACCAGAGCATTGTCCCTCCTCCTGCCCAGCCCTGCAGCAGGTGGTGCATCTCACAAGACCCCCAGGAGGAGCAGGCACGGGTGCAGCCCGAGGGGTGCACCCCGGGGGCCTGGCCGGCTCTGCCCATGAAGGCCTGCAGGCTCCCCACCGCCAGGGCTCTGCGTCTCCTGCTTAGAGCTTGGACACTGGACTCAGTGCCCCCTCCCTCACGTAACCAGAAGCTTCTGTGTTCTGCACTTTCTGCACAGACGACTCTTCCACAAAGGTGGACATGAAGGAGTCCTATGAGACGGAAGCCAGCACTTTGTGAGTACCCCGCCCTGGTGGTGCCAGTATGGCTGCCTGGCTCCACCCTCCTCGTCGGTATCCCTCCCTCTGCCCCCGCCCCCTTCAGGAGCCTTCCAGTCAGTGGGCTCCCCAGGGTCACACCAGTGACATCATCACTCCACTGAGACCCTGCTAGGCTGAGGGCCCCTTCTGGGTCCTTCCCTGCACGTGTCTTTCTCTGTCCGGCCCGAGCCCCGCCCTCCATGACAGGCCCCCTCCTCCTCTCAGACCCTGGCCCTAACTGGGCCCCCATGGGGGGTCGAGGGTGCAGGCACGGGGCAGGGCTGGGGGGCCTCCTACCCACGGCTCGGCTCGCGTCCTTGCAGCTCCTTCCCCGAGTGTGCGCATGCAGGCGGCGTGTCGCCCTTGTCCTTCTGCACGCAGACGGCGCCCCACGCCAAGACGGTCAGTGAGAGCGAGCTGAGTGCCACGGCCGCCGAGCTGCTGCAGGACTACATGCTCACGGTACGCTGCCCGCCGCCGCTGCCGCAGCCGTCAGGAGACCCCGGCCCCAGAGAGCCCATGTGCTCTAGCAGGCCTGTGCTGTGGTCAGCGGCGCCTTGGGGTTAGAATCTCCTTGCGGGGGTGGGGTAGGGCCGGGGAGGGGAGGATGAAGGCGTGCTTCTCTGTGGGTGGGGCTGGGGGTGAGCGTGGGCGCCTTGCTTGCAACTGGGCCTCGCTGCCTTTCCCACCAGGTCAGTCTTTGGGGAGGGCGTGAGTTGGCCAAGGCCTGAGCATGGGGGCTGCTCTGGCCTCTGGGGCTGGACCACAGGCCTGTCCCTGGGTCTCTGGTGGTGGACAGTAGCGGAGGACCGGGTCACTCCCTGGAAGGGCCAGATGGGCCTTGTCATCACTCACCAGATTTTTTTACCCCCATCCCCCGACTTCACGTGATGTTCTCATTAGAAACTCGGTCAGCTGGCTGAGCATCACTGTGGGCTCCAGGGCGCTGGTCGCTGCCCCCCGGCAGTGGTGTGCAGCCGCGCCCTCTGCCCGCTTGCGGGCAGCCTGGTCAGCCGCGCCTCCAGGTTAGGGCGGACGGTGCGGGCTCCTCTCTCCCCTGCCGGCCGGAGCCGTGGAGCTGCAGGTCCTCTAGGGTCACGTGGGGTGTGGGCAGGGGGGCGGCAGCGCCGGTCACCACCCCGCCCCGGGCCCGGCTCTCTCGGCAGCTGCGCACCAAGCTGTCATCGCAGGAGATCCAGCAGTTCGCGGCGCTGCTGCACGAGTACCGCGATGGAGCCTCGGTGCACGAGTTCTGCATCAACCTGCGGCAGCTCTACGGGGACAGCCGCAAGTTCCTGCTGCTCGGTGAGCGCGCGACGGACGGCGGCGCTGTTAGGAATGGGGCCAGGCAGCGAGGCCTGCGTGATGCGGCTGGGAGGGGCCTGTCCCAGTGACGGGTGGGGACCTTCCCCCAGGGAAGCGGGAGGGGCCCCACGGGAGCCAGACTGAGGGTGAGGTGGGCGCCGCGCTGCCTGGCGAGGGCGGGGGAGGCTCTGCAAGGAGGTGGCGCTTGTGCAGGTTTGGGAGGCGGGGCAGGAGCTTGCTGGGCAGGGGAGTGAAGACGCCATTCCCGGTGAAGGGCAGCCTTAGCTGAGGCCCGGAGCTTAGCACGCGGAGTCAGCACGGCGGGCGGGTGCCCAGGACCTGCCACGGTCAGGGCCCTGGACGGTTGCCCAGGCGTGCGAGGTCGGTAGTGCCTCTGCTTTTCCCATGCTGACCCCGGAGAACACGGCTGGTTGACGGTGGCTGGTGGAGGCTCCTGGGTCCTGGGCTCTGCCCCCAACGGTCTGATGAGGGCGCACTGCTCATGGGGGTGAAGGGATGGAGGCGGACCTGCTTCATCCAGTCCGAGCTCTTGCTGACCCCACTGCCCCCTGGAGTCAGTCGCTACCCGACGCTGGGGTCCACAGCCCCTGTTCGTACTGTCCTCACATAGGAGGGGGTCTCTGTCCAGGAAGTGGGTGGTCAGCCGGGTGCCGGGAGCACAGCTGGGCGGCGGGGCCCGGTGCTCGGAGCCCTGTGTCAGCCTCCCCTCCCCTCCGCTCTCTCCTCTCCTCTCCTCTCCTCCATCTGGAAACCTGTGCAATGGGGCTTCTGTGAGGACTGAGGGGAGTGACGTGAGGGTGTGGTTCCCGGCCCACGCCTGCCCCGCTGCAGAGGCAGGGCCGGGCCAGACGCAGGCGGGTGGTGGGGTGGGCCCCCCGGGCTGTGGGCTTTTGTGCGGGAGCCGCAGGGTGAGGTGTGCCATGTGTGTGCAGGTCTGCGGCCCTTCATCCCCGAGAAGGACAGCCAGCACTTCGAGAACTTTCTGGAGACTATCGGGGTGAAGGACGGCCGCGGGATCATCACCGACAGCTTCGGCAGGTACCGCCGGGCCATGAGCTCCACCTCCACCTCCACCTCCAACGGGAACAGGGCCGCGGGCAGCTCTGACGACCAGTCCGCACCCTCGGAGGGGGACGAGTGGGACCGCATGATCTCGGACATCAGCAACGACATCGAGGCGCTGGGCTGCAGCATGGACCAGGACTCGGCCTGATGGCGCCGGGACCCCTGCCAGCCGCCCTCCCCGCGTGGGGCCCCGGGCGCAGGTGGCTCTACTGTGAAGGAGGCACCCTGGTGCTGGGGCGGAAGGCTGCACTGCGCCCCCCTGCATGCCACCCTGCCTCGGGAGGGGGTCTTGTCAGCCAGACCCCGGACAGCTGTCATTTTGCACATGACGTTTCTATTGAAACTCTCAGAGACCTTAAAAGAAGTTTACCGCAATGTGAATAATTTATCTCTGCTTGCTAGCGTGTTCCTGCTCCAGTGGGGTAGGAGCCCGGGGTGTGCGCTCTGGCCTCTGTCTCAGACCCGCATGCCCAGGCTGGGCACAGTGGGCTGGGCGCTCATGCCCGCTGCCTAAAGGGAGGGCCTGATTTGGGGTTGTGGACACAGGGCAGAAAGCAGGTGTCCTAAGCACATGTGGACGTGAACATCAGGCCCCCGCTGGCGGGACCTGGGCACTGGGCTGTCTGAGGGGTGCTGGCTGTCCTCCCCCCTCCCCCAAGCCCCAGTCCCCGGCTCTCATCCACAGTCATAGTGGTCTCCATAGCAGACCTGCACACCACTGCTTCACCGGAAGTGCCGTCCCCACCCTGAGAGTGCGTCGTCTTGGAGCCCAGGGCCGCCGGTCGTCAGGAAGGCCAGTGGGGGCACTGTGCCTGCCCCTTCAAGGCCCTTTGCCTCGTTCCCCCCTGGGCTCAGCCCCTCCTGTGCCCTTAGGACATGGGGAGGCAGTGGCGGTGACCCCAGGGCAGGGCCGTCGGGTTGCAGGCTGGGGCCTGGGCACTGCTGTGTGGGCGCAGGAGGGCCCAGCTCCAGGACTGCTTCCTCGCCCGCAAGACGCCTGCGCGTTGCTGTGAGGCCCCTGACCGCGTGTGCGGGAAGCACCAGGCTCAGCAGGGTGGGTACTTGAGCCCGCAGGAGGGAGGGCAGGGCCGTGGGCTCGCGGTGAGGCCGTGTGGGGACCAGGCAGGGGTCTGCAGCCCCCTAGGCTCCCCCACTTCTGAGGGGCGGCGCAGGATGGGAGGAGGGGTCTCACACTTGGCTCTGGCCCTGGCTCTCCTGGAGCTGGTTGTGGGCCTGGGTTGGGCAAAGCTAAGGGAGACCGTGGGTAGATGTCTCTAGGCGTGTGTGCAAATCGACCTGCCCTGGAAGCATCTGGAACAGCTAAAGATAGCCACCTAGTCCAGGGGCCGGCATCTCCACAGCCCCCCCACGGGCTTGCGCACGGAGGGGACCTGGTGTCCCAGGAGTATCCTGTGGCCAGTCAGGAACTGCTTCTCCTCAACGGGGGCTCCACCCACACATGGCCTCCCACTTGGTGGTCTCCCTCTTCTGTCCTGGAGCGTGGCTCCCACCCTGCGGATCCCTGGCCTTTGTAGGAGAGAGGAGAGGACACGGGGAGGACGGTGACTCCTAGAGCTGGGCCGTGGTGAGGGGCCAGGAACTTGGGGGCATGAGCTGCTGAGTCCCTGAGCAAACGCTGCCTTCCTGCAGCTGCTGCGGCTCAGGGCCCCTGCAGAAAACTCTGAGCCCCTGCGTCTGGGGAGTTCCTTCCGGAAACTGCAGTCCCCAGGCCCACACCTGGGGCCGCAGCCAGGTGACCCGACTGCCCGCAATCTCTGGGCAAGTTGGGCGCCCTGGGACGTGGGGGAGGGACCACCACCCTCTGGGACTTGGGGGAAGGACCGCCACCCTCCTTGGGGCCTGCGTGGCTTCAGGAAGCATCTTCACACTTCCTCCAACCCGTTTAGCCAGAGCCTGCGCTGGGGGAGCCTTTGGAGGAGCAGAGGCGATGAGGGGACACCGGTTTATTGAGCAGCAGAGCTTGGGGGCAGGGGTGGAGCCAGGTCTCTGGTCAGCAGCTACATTGTCAGCTCCTGCAGGAAGCACACAAAGAGAGGGTCACATTGTGTGAGGCCACAGCGGAGACGGCAGCAAGGCGCCTGCGAAGGGGCCGGCCACTCACCATGATGGCGTTGACGATATCGCTCTGGTTGTCCCTCAGGGCCCGCACGGCCTTGGCCCTTGACACGTTGGCCTGCGCCATCACCAGCTCAATGTCCCGAAGCTCCAGCCCCGTCTCGTCCACCTGGAGCGGGGCAAGCAGGGAGGTGCTGTAGCGGTCCCCTCCCCCGGGAAGAGGCCCCCAGCAAAGCTGCCCCCCTCGCGGGGCTGGGCCCTGTGCCCCTGGGCCTCACCTCCTCGTCATCGTCCTCTTCCTCCTCCTTGCACTCTGGCCTCACCCTCGGCCCCGGCGCTGACTCGGGGGCCAGGGCGGAGGGCTCCGAGGGTACCTTGAACTTCTCAGCCGCAGCTCTGTGCACCTGCTGGGACAGGTCCTCGATCTGCAGCACAGGGCACAGCTGTCAGCCGAGCCCACGCCCCCAGCCCCCGCCCCGCGCCCGCGGCCGGCCGGGTGGACCTTGGCCTCGCCGAAGACCACGTAGGTGTCCGAGGCCGGGCTCTTGAAGACGTCAGGCTTGGCGATGACAAAGAGGATGTTCTTGGACTTCTGGATGGTGATCCTGGTGACCCCCTGGATCTGTCGTAAGCCCAGCTTGGACATCGCCTGGGGGCACAGCGGTCTCAGGCCCCGGGCAGCAGCCCCAGAGGTCCCCGGTGGGGGCTGGGGGAGGGGGAGGCGGCGCACTGCCAGGATCACGAGGGCTCTGCCACCGACTCACGGGGACCCTCTGTGGACCCCCCCCCAGCTGGCCCCCCGTGTGTACAAGAGGGCGTCGGCCCCGGGCTGAGAGGCCACGTCAGTTGACAGCCCAGGCCCAGTTACTTGCACGAGGTGTCCCGTTACTGCCTTTACCAATGGGCCCCTGCCAATGGACTTTATCGGCTGTGGGGTGCGAAGGGGTCCCCTTAACGCAGCCAGCCCCAGTCCTGGGTGCTTGGGTTGCTGGCCAGCCTGGTCCCTCCCGGGGCGGGGGGCAGGGTCCCAGCAGGGCCCCAGCCCACCTTTCGGGCCTTCTTCTCACTGCGGCTCTGCTTGACTTTGGTGACCGTCTCCTCGCTCCCGCCGCCTGCCGGGGCCTGAGGAACAGAGGGGTCTGAGCACCCGAGGGTGGGGCGTGGAGCCCTCCCAGGGCTGTACGTGCCCCCGCGGTTGGGCACCTGGGCTGGGCACTGCGCGGTCCGCGGTCCCGAGAGGTCCTGTTCCTCCAGCTCGGCCGACGACTCCCCGTGGCTGTCCGAGTGCTGGCCGGAGCCCGGGGCCTGTGGCGAGTCTGAGGACAGGGCAGGTGTGAGGGTGGCCTCCGCCTTCTGGACAGGGGCCTGGGGGCGAGCAGCGCTGGCTCTGCACCAGGGGGTGGCGTCCCCGCCCCTTGCAGCCCCCAGCTCAGGACACTGCTCCAGCCTGGATCCCCCTCACCTTCTTCCAAACTGTCCTGGTCATCCTGCTGCTTGGCGGCTGGGAGCCCTCGAGGTCCGGCTGGGCTCCGGAGCCCAGAGCCAGGAGGCACTTGGCAGGGGGGCGAGATCCTCGAGGCCAGGTCTTTGGCATGAGTAGCCCCCTTGGGGGCCGCCTTGGGGCTGAGGAGTGGGGAGTGGGGCGGGAGGCTGACCTGCCCGGCCCCGGGGGGATTCTTGGTCCCTGAGAGGGCAGCCACCACCCGCTGGGCTCTTGCCCGTGGTGGTGGGAGTCCCAGAGAGCCCAGGGGCTCCGCGCTCTCCCCCAGCTCTTCCCCGGGGACCTGGCAAGGGCAGGGGGCAGGGGGTGCCGCGGGGGGTGGGACTGTCTGCATGAGGACACCAGGAGCAGAGGACTCAGCGCCCTGGATGCTGGCTTGGGGTGCACCGGGCAGGCCCCCTAGGGGGCTTTGTGGAGGCTGCGGTGGGGAGGAGCTGAGGACTCCCAGGGCTGCCCGGGCCTGCTTTCCGCTGTGCAGGCCCCTCACGGGCTCTGGCTGCCTTGAGGGCAGTGGAAGTGCCAGGGCAGGATCTTTGGGACAGCTCCCTCCCAGCCTGGGTACAGCCCCTGATGGAGACTCTGGGCAGGAGCCCAGCCCAGCCTCTGAGGCCACAGCCACGGGAAGCCTGGGCCCCAGGGTGGCCCTTCCCTCCTCCACTGGGCTTGGGGGCCCCACCTGGCCAGCCTCCAGGCTGGCAGCAGGACATGGCTCTGGGCTGCAGACGACTGCCTTTAGAACTCCACGCCCCTGGTTCTCAGCCCCCGGGGCCTCCTTTAGGGGCGAGCTGGGCTCAGCTCCATCACCCCCATGCCCACGGGCATCAGGACAGGCTCCCTGCTCAGGTGCCAAAAGGCCCTTGGCTACTTCCTCCCCACTGGAGTCAGGCTCTGGGGGACCTGGGGCCTCTGTGGCAGGCTCAGGTGTGTCTGGGGCCTCCGCGGCAGGCTCAGGTGTGTCTGGGGCCTCCGCGGCAGGCTCAGGTGTGTCTGGGG